ATTTTGACAAATGATTTGGGAAATGAGGACCCTACAAATACTCCCAAAGGCTTTAAGCCAGTCCTGGCGGTGCTTTATTTCTGGAGGAAGGTAAATAGAACTGTTTTCTAAATATGTCCAGGAGATGATTAATAAAGGCTATATCGTTTATTTTGCCCAGATAGCTGTATTCACTCATTAAAAAAAATAAGAACCTATCTGAGGCTTTTATGTGAAAAGTCCACCTCTCAGATGCCAAGTGATCAAAGCGCCGCGCAGCTTGTGAGATCCGTAATTGTGCTCCCACGGCCACCGAGGGCACTGGCTCCTGCTGCCTGCACGCTGACTGTTCTGGCAGCAGAAATAGGTGTTTTCCTGTGTCCACTGGGGAAGCACATGGATTTTTTTACCGGAGCATCTTAGCTGCTGATGCCTGAAAATTTGGCCTCAATTGTTTATAGAAAGGAAAAGCAATCTGAGCTGTCAGCCTTGATATTACCTAAACCTGCATAGAATGTGGTCAAATAATGCAAGATTTGTTTTGTAGGCCTGTTTCATATTTTCCAGGCAATAGATCAAATCAGTTCAGGGTTCATTTTTAGTTCTTTAACAAGCTGACGCAGTGTGCTGGCAGTAAAATAAGAATGCACTTTCACATGGAAGTGCCACAGAGACCAACTTGGTCTTTGTGCTGTTTATTAATAACTAGAGAACCCTCAAGAATTGAACTTAGCACTTTTGATGGGAAAACTGAGATCCTAGTTCTTTCTAGTGTAATGAGCACCATCTCCATTTGGTATCTTAGCCTTATTCCCTTGTCAATTCCTACTCTCTTTTTCTGCAACTTGTGTTTTACACAGCAAACAAGCCGTGAGAAGAGTGAATAAATCATCTATATGCCTTTTCTCTCATTCTTCCCTAAGTCTTGACTCTTCCATATGTTGGAAATGCCCTCCCCTACATACCCACTCCTTGACTTCGAGTTCTTATACCAAAGTCGCCCCAGGAAAGCCACTCCTGACCACCATACCTAAAATGGCAGCCCTCAAACCTGACACTTTATATCACTGTTTTTTTTTCTCCTTCGCCTTTATTTCCACGGCCACACTTGACCGTTTCTTTGGGTCCGGATTGTCTGTCTCTCCCGCTGGAATGTAAGCTCCCTGAGGCCAAGGATTGTCCTGTATCTGAGATTTCTTCATTGGGCAACTAGTTTACTTCAGCAGGCGCTCCATATAGATTTATCAAATGAAGGAATGGGAGGCATTTGCCCCAGGCTTTGGTTTCTTTGTTACATGATGAATGATGTGTTTTCACAGCCTGTTTGAATGCGGTGCACTGAGGTCTCCGTAGCCTTCACCCCTGTCCCTGCTGACAAAGGTCGGAGTGTGGCCTCTACCGTGGTCTCCCGGGGTCAGACTCAGGGACAGGGCCGGCAGTGCAAAGCTTCACTCAGTGAGCCAGCCTTTTCTGAGACATTTTCTCTGGCCTGAGTTTCCATTAACCACCATCAAAATCAACCTTCCCCCCCATCTCTGTCTGGATTCGGTGCCTCTTCTCCTTCCCCAGCCTTTTGGAGGGTCAGTAGCAGGGATTTGAGCGAAACAGCTTATTCCTTCTTCACATAATAATGCAGTTCATGCGAGCAAAGAAGCCAGCATGGCACTCCACCTATGGGAAGCCAGGAAACGAGATTGTGCGGGCTGGCGATGTTTGCATTTGCCACACTTGCAGTCCTGGCGCCCGGGACAAATGCATTGAGCCTCGTCATTGCTTTGCTGGGTTCTGAGAACATCCCGTGCTGCTCTGATGTTAAGTTTTACTGCCCATGAAGGCAAACATCACCTCCGTCACGGCCAGTTAAACAGTATCTTTTACAGTGGACTTCTGCATATCTGAAACCCACCCATCCAAAGCCAAAAGTAATGCCAGGGGGGAGAGATTTTATTCTGCCATGTTTCTTACAAGAGGAGATCAAGGGTCAACTCAATTCATAAAATTACTGCAGTCATTTTTCAGCTGGCTGAGAGACTTCACAGGTCAAAAAATACAGTGGCTCCTAAATGATTTCTGATATGCACAATTCTAGTGTTTTTTCTTCTCAGCATGTGGTGCAGAGCCTGCCAGAAACCATCTTTGCAGCTATTGACAGGCGGATTAGAAATCATCCGCGATGGTTTCCATCGTTTCTCTACAGGCTGGTCATCCATTTAAACTGCTTAATGCGCGTTCCTCTCAAAGCCTGCTTTGTAAAATGCGGTGCTCACCTTGGGCACATTTTTGATGATGGGCCCCGTCCAACCGGCAAAAGATACTGCATCAACTCGGCCTCCTTGTCTTTCGCACCTGCAGAGAGCGCAGCCACTGGGGGCCGTGGGGCCGGCAGCCCCGCCCAGGCGGACAAGGCGGAGCTGTAGAGTTCGAGACCGCGAGGGAGACAAGTGTACTTAATGCACAGCTTATTAACAGAATTCAGAATTGTCTATCTTAGATATATTTTTTTCAAAAAAAAAATACAGTTTTGTGCTATTGATATATTTCTTCTTTTGCTTAAACAGAGGCCCTAGCCACCGATGTATTTTGCTATTGACTAGATCCGGAACTGTTTATAACTTTAGGGAGCCGAGACAGCTTTGTGAAACTTCTTCACAAGCCACTTCAGTACCATTGGGCATAATTTTCCTCATCACATAGCTCCTTCGGAGATTTCTTTCCCCCGACGTCAGAGGCAGCAGTGCTTGGAGACCTCCGGGCGGGCGCTGCAGGGACGGAGCCGGGTACAGGAGCAGGGAGAGACCTGTGAGACACATGGCCCGGCATTGCACAGATAAGGATGGAGTGATGTCTCCCGAGACTTCTTAGCTTTGTGGACTGTTTAAGCTGAGGTCGTTTATTCTCACTAAAAGGGTGTGAAGGTCTAAAGTCTTTCCTTATGTTAAATTGTTGCCAGATCTGAGGGGGCGCAAGGAGCGTTGTGGCAGAGAAGTAAACATTACCTCACGGTGAGGCCTTTATTTTATTTTCCATTGAAAACTTTGGAATGTACGACAACTGTAAAACGCGGAGCCCCATCTTGCCCAGAGTTCACAAAGGAGAACACCTGCCCTGGCCCTGTAGAAGTCCGTCCTGCACACCTAATACCAGCTGGGTCTGGAAGGGCATGCTGGTGAACTCCACTGTGCAACCTGTGGGAATAAGCACTCACCAGGCAGCAGAAACGAGAGAGCAGAGGAGACCAAAGAGCATGTCCTGGGGCCCAAGTAGCCAGTATTCTGCGGAAGAGCTGACGGGGTCCTGCGCATAGCAAACAGCACCCAAAGGGAGGGACTCTGTGCACAGGTTCAGGTGAACTCTGGAGAGAGGGCGGGAGTTAACATAGGAATAGCCAGGAGTTGAGTCTCACCCTTGACACTGATCTGTCGTGTGCCTCCTCTTCATGTATAAACCGAGACATACAACATTTGTAAAATAATTGACACTCTCAGGGCAACATTACTTACTATCTTGCCACACGGTGAAGATCGGTGTGGTGAAATTAAACTGATCTGGTTCTAATAGCCCACGAGGCTGAAACCCAGGCATTTGAAATGGAAAGAAGTAGAGAGAGGAGGCTGACTTAGCTGATTGGTATGGAAGCAGTTGGGCTAAGAGCCAGAAATGTTTTCTTTGTAGCAGTGTGGCTGCTTTTACTCGGAGGAGCCCCACTCAGCTGCTGTAGAACATGAGGGCTGGTGGGACGGATGTCATTGTGCACGGATGTGAGCCGTGCTGACACAAGTTGGTGTCGCCGCCACCGGGTGTGCAGGTACAGTTTTTATGGCTGATACATTTTGTCCCTGTAGCCTTGAACACTAATCCTGAAATGTAGTTTTTGGAAAAATATTATTTTTGTAAATCTTTGAAAACATGAAAATTGACATCTTTTCTTATATGCACCACAACAAAAATAAGATAGAGGGACACCTGACAGTTTTAGAGAAATAATGAGAAATTAAAATGAAAAGTTGTGACAAACCGAGATGTCAGTATGGTCATGTCTGCATTCTTCTATGTCTCCACCGGCTTCCCGGGGAGGCCGCGACGTCCTGGTGTGACTCCTGGTCCTCGAGGCCTCAGCTTCGCAATCCCGGATGAGTTACACTCGGCTCCCCTCACTGCCAGGTGTTTCCCCTCGGGCCAGGGTCGCTGGGGGAATTTACAGGTTTCACTGCCCTGTCGACATGAGATATAAAATTTAAGATCATTGAAGCCTCAGCATCCAGACAGTCTTAGAAGCTGTTCCCAACCTCACAGAGGGAGCCCCAACATTATCCAGTGACCCAATGAGCCCATGTGGAGTCGGCCAAAGAAGTGGGTCTCCCCAGACATTTCCTGCCACAGTGTGAGTCTGTCCTTTGGGGGTCCACGCAGCACTTCTCACATCCCCCGAGTTAGGTGCGGTGGCCTGCCCCGGGGTCCCTTGGACACGAGCCACAGTGTTGGGCTAGACAAGGAAGATAAACGAGGGGCTTCTTTCCTCTCCCCGAGGACTCTGGGTTCTTACTGTTCCTTCATTTTTATTGTAGGGCTTAACATTTCCCTCAAAAAACTCTGTTTCTAATCCTTAGTCTTTGTTTCCCGGGAAGCCAGTTTTTATTCTACCACATTTCCCTGCATCAACTTTAAGAAAAATGTAGCATCCATCGAAAAAAAAGAAGTGGGGTGTATGCATGTGGTTTGATTCCAGATTGCTTTTGAGTTTAAGTGGTATCAAATTTCAGTATATTTCTGTCTTATGTTAAGGAAATATATTACTAAAATGTCAGTGAGCAATAATGTCAGCTGTCGAGCCCTGGATTTATTTTTGCAGGATATGGAGTGCAATGAACTGAGTCAATATGGCGAGGTGTATGTGATCTGTGGGAGTTATGCCATTTAGCGTAGGAAATGCGGGGACTTTCCCTCTCTGCCCTGGTCCTGGCTGTGCCATTAGGAGACGCAGACTTCTGCCGTGTGTACAAAGTATATCCAGACAATCATGCAGAACAGCTCTGAAGAGAGCAGCAGTATATATTGTATTAGAGAACATTTCTATGTGTTTTAACTTTGCACTTCTTAGATGCATTTACATTCTTAATGCAAATAACATGGTAACTTAAAAGCCTCTCCAGGTTAACGGAGTTGAAAATGTCTTGCTTTAAATACAGAATACAGTGGATTACCATTGGTTCAGAAGGATAGATATTCTTTTTGCCCTAGATAGCTTTGTAATAACTTTTTCTCAAACAATTTAAAACTTTTGAAAATGATGTGAAATTTTCATTAAAAAATCCTTTCCTATGTTTATTGTATACAATAATTATGCAATAAAATTTCTTTACAAAAGTGTTTTCTTGTCTGATTCCGAGACTCCTCATTTTTAGCACAGATACATGGACCATCCATTGGAGTTTGCAGTAGGCTGCTCTGCTGACCTCCTTGCCTGGCTGACAAACCTGTATTTTTGCATAGAGGACCTTTTACCTGTGTGGCCTTGCAAGCTAAGTGTCGGGTGGAGTCCCAGAACCCAGGAAAGGCCTCCGGGGATTCGGAAGATGGGAGGAAAGGAAACACTTGCAGAATTACTCCACCTTCACCTCACCTCAGCAGCTTTGTCTGTTTTTCTGCTTCAAATATGGATTTTGGGGAGTTTCATCCTGATAGAACTCTATGGATAAAAATACAGGAATGATACCATGCTGATGCCTAGGTTTCCGTTAAAGAATTTGACAGGAAACTTACACTCTTCTCAAGGATTGGTCTCTAAGGAAATGCATTAGGAGCTGCCCATTGCTCACAGATGAATTTACCTGTAAAATCATCTCTGCAGAAGAGTTTCTGTACACAGTCATGCATCACATAATGTTTAGATTAACGATGTGATGACGACCCCACAAGAGGGTCCCACACCAAGCGTGTGGTCCCCAGACTGCAGCAGCAGTATCACCTAAAACATTGCTACTAATACAGGTGTTCAGGCCTCTCCCACTCACTGCACCAGGAGCTCTGGGTTGGGCCTTTGCAGTTGGTGCTTTAGCAAGCCTGCCATGTGATTCTGGTTCTTGTTCAAGTTTGAGAACCGCTGCCTTGGAACTTCTAGTGATAAAAATTCAATGAATGCTCATTTTAAAAGCATTTCTATCTGACCGGCCCCTCCCCTCAAAGGCCCGATTTGTCATCACTGGTTGCCTTGCTATAGAGATGATCAGTTTTCCCAAAGCTTCATGTCTTTCAGTTCTTCCTGCCCTTCGCCGCTGTCTGTCCTGATGCCTTATCAAGGAGCACCGCCTTAACTCTTAGTCGTGTTTCTGGGTTTACTGCAGGCTGCCTGGGGGTGCTCAGCTGCCTCTCTAAATTGCTGGGTGTCCGCAGCAGGGTTCACCTCGGCAATTCCAAGAATTAGAGAACAGATCTACATTGCAACCCCATATGTACAGACAGGGTGAGCCAGGAACATATGGAGAGAGAGCTGTCATAGCCACAGAGCTCCGGTGTAACCTTAGGGCTGTTCAGTAAGGTTTTCATGACCCACATAGGGTGTGAGAGCTCCGCCCATAGGCCCTCTGGATTCCCATCTTGGTTAAGATCTCTACCATAAATGTAGATGTTTCCCCTTTTGATAGAGCTCTTTCTCTGAAAGCATTGCTGATCAGCGGTCAAATCCTCTCATTTCAGCGGCCTTTTGTCCCTCAATACTCGGAAAGATCTCTTCTGGGTGATTCGGCTAACGTTGGAGGGAAGGTGCGTGGACTGGAACTGCTCCTGTGTAGGCTCCACAAGCATCAGGCGCAGAGCTGAACAACAAGAAGAACATAGAGCCAAATTAAAAACAACGTAACAAACTTAGTCTGTACGATTCCAAACCAGGAGCTCAAACCTGCAAGTAGTGAAATAAGGGGTCATTATTGTCTTGGACAGATTGAAGCTCTTGATGACAGATCCAGCAACTGGAGAGGTTTCCCCTTTCACAATAGATTGGGAAATGTGGACCAGGGCATTTTCCTTCTAAGAAAGACAAAGGGAACGAAAGTAAGAAGCAATAGTAAGACAAGGTTGTGCAGGCCTGGGCTGCTGGTTTAGGGAAAACTGTGTCCTTCAGATGCCGCATGCTTCTGTGTGCAGTTCTGGTCAGGGTTCGGTGACAACACCTCTTTAGGTGTGATGCATGAATTCAAAAGTCTACTCCCGTTTTACTCTTCAAATATGCACCACCTTTGAACCAGGAGAAATCAGCATTACCCAGGGGGGTCTCCTGCAGATCGTTACGGGGGTGATTCTTCAGCGTTAAGAAGTGGTGAGGAGCTTCGTCAGCGTCATGTGAGGAGAGTCAATCTATGAACCAGGAGGTCACGGTTCGATTCCTGGTCAGTGCACATGCCCAGTTTGCAGGCGCGATCCCCAGTGTGAGGCCTGCAGGAGGCAGCTAATCAATGATTCTCTCTCATCATTGATGTCTCTACCTCTCTCTCCCTCCCCCTACCTCTCTGAAATCAATAAAAAGGAATATATTTTTTAAAAAGGGCTTCATAGGAGGGAAGGTGACTCACTGAAAGATGCTTGTTGTGGTGAGAATCCAGGCGGGCTCTTAGGGCATGGGGTGCAGAGATGGTTAAAGGGGATCCCAAAACAATTTCCTTTGTGGTCTTAACCAAAAGGGCTGTGGCCGTAACAGCTCCAGCAAGGGAGCTATCCCAGGCCACAGGGCCGGGTTGCTGCCTATAATACCCTATGCGCCTATCATGGTGCCCATGTTTCTGGGATATCCAAGAGCAGACGGGTCCATTAAACTCTCCTGTGAGGCTTAAAAGGCCATGTCGTCCCCATAGAATTGGGTTGGGACTGTCATTATTTAGTAAAACATACAGAGGTGTTTGCCACAAGTCAGGGATTTGGGATTCGGTTTTGCAATAGCCCAAGAAAGCCTCACAGATGCTGTTTAGGGTTGGGCCCCGGGAACTTTAGGACCAGCAAGTCTGCTTGGATCCCGCTGCAATCCTTGTTCTGGTATCAGATGCCCCACACATGGAATCTGGGTTCAGATGAGCCGATTTTTCTTTAGAGGTTTTCTTTCCTTTAAGGCTACACATTCCGAAAGGTAGATGCTATCTTGCTGTGAGAAGACCTGGGAGGAAGAGAAAGAAACACATCACAGGCGGATTGCAACAAAGGAAAACCTTGAGAGAAAGTTACATCGTCCAAACCAGCCTCAAGATTTGTGAGAAATAGGAAGGGCTCTCCGCAGAATCCCGAAGGATTACTGTCCAGGTGCACTGTTTCCCTTCCCCAGTGACGGCACGAAGGTATTGGCTAGCTCCATCCCTGGAATGTTAAATAATGCACTGCATAAATCAATTACGTGAAGAATTCGTTTCCAGCTGGGAACAAGCTAGTAGTGTGTGAGGGTTAGGAACAACGGGGTGTGGAGGGGTAACGAGCCTGTTTATTGCTCAGAGGTCCTGGTCTTGCACAAACCTCCATCCTCGGCCTTGGGTTTTCTCATGGGTAAGATTGGAGGGACGAGGGCCTTGAGCTCTGTAGTCTATTATGGGTTTCATACCTTGAAGGACCCCTTGACTGATGAGAGATTGAGTAATCTGGGAAGGGGTTTCGAGGGATCTATTTGATCTTACGAGGCGGTGCGCTGCGAGTTTTGCAAGTACCCGGTGGAGATTTTGCCCACAAAGAGGGTGGCAGCTGGTCCCATAGGATCCAACGATCAGCGGTCCAGAGCCAGTTACAGTGCTGTCAGAAAAAGAAGTGCCTCTTCGTTCACCTGATTGGCTATTTTGAGAGCTACTGTCAAGTTTTAGGATTATTTTCCCCCTCAGGAGAAAGAAATTTTGGCATGATACTTCTCTAGGAAGTCTCAGACTAATAAATAAATAGGGGCAGAAGCATTAAGGGACTAAATAAAAAGGCATGGTTCAGAGACAGAAACCTGCGGAGGTGTTTGAAGTCCCCACTATCTGGAATGTGTATCACCTGGAGCAGGGGCCGCTTCATCGCAGCGGGGTTAGCACTGAGTGGAGCTCCGGAGTCCAGAGGACAGAGATTTCTTCCCAACTTGGAGAAGAGTTTCTCTGAGCCGGTGAAGAGAGGGAACTGGGGGGAGTCCCTGTAGTTCCTCGGGGCCCCGCCATTGGGATGAGGAAGGCCTTAGGAAGGCTGGTTAACTGGCTGAGGCCTCCTGAAGTGCTTAACCCCGTGACAGCCTCTTTTCCAGTATGCTGACTCTTTGCAATACCAGCAGAAGCAAGGAGACTTTGGGTTTTGTAGAGGGGGCTTCATTTGCCAGGGCTGAAAATTAAAAATCTTCATGGTCTTACTTCTGGTGGCTCATCTAGGGTATAAGCAAGCTTATTTACCAAATTAACCCAATCTAGAGTGGACATGGTTTCCCACTCCATCCGGGTTCTTTTAACTAAAAGGGGAAAGTCTCAGTTCAGCCCATTAATAAATGCAGAGTTAAAGGCTACTTGAGTAGAATCCACATCTGGAGGAATACCAGAATTTTTTTAAAAAATATGAACTTGATTATAATAGATCTGTCAGACTTTTGTGAGCAGGTCTGAATTTTGTCCTGATCAACAGGCTTTAGAAAGGCTCAGTAGAGATCTCAAGTGACTTTTCTAGCATTTTCCTCAAAATCAGAATTTGTTTTAAAAAAAATCTGTTTGGGATCTTCCCATTGGGCAAGCCTCATACTATGCCAAGTCAGGCCTTCACCAACTAGCTGATGTGAATTAGAAAACCCAGGCTGGTAGGTCTGGAAAATTATGTTAATTTCTTCAGCAAATCTGTAAGGATCCTCAGTTACCTTAGGAAATTCTTTGTTGTTGATAATCCTCACTGGAGGATATTTTTTTTCCACTGATTTTTTGTTTGTTTGTTTTGTTTTTTCTTTTTTTTCCCTTTTTTCTTTTTTCTTCTTTTTTAATTTTTTATTACAAAGGGTATTACATATGTGTCCATTTTCCTCCCCGCCCTAGACAGTCCCCTAGCCTCCCCTATCCCCCAGTGTCTTATGTCCATTGGTTATGCTTCTATGAATGCATACAAGTCCTTCAGTTTATCTCTTCCTCTCCCCCTCCTCCCGCCCCTCAAGCCTCCCCAGCATTCCCGCTG